GGAGCATAGAGGACTTGCCCTCAGAAATACCAAATATACATGTACATCCTTGAAAACAAAGATCATTTGGAAAACGAAAAGCCTTCTTTGGGAACTATAGTGGATATAGTGGCGGATTCTTTGAGGAACTGGCTTTCCATTGCCTTCAGGAGATAACTTATGGAACAGGTTTTGAGCCCAGGAGCTCAGGTACTGATTCCAGGCTGATTCAGTGGTCAGTTTCAGATTTTTCTTACACCAAAGATCATGCGAAAATGTAGGTACTTACACAGCAAAATGATAGATAAAACACTTCGACCCACTGGGCCTCTCTAGGAAGTTGCAGACCTGTCCCTGTGTGCTGGTTTTGGTCAGATACTGGCTCTGGAAGCACTTCGTGGTTCGGGCCCTGCCAGCTCCACTGTCTGAGCAGGCTGCAGGCTTTGTGCCTTCCCCAGAGCTCTGGGGAATCCTGGATCCTTTATCCACAGGGGGGTCTGGATTCAGTGCCAAAGGAGAATACTGCATGGTGCTGAGGTTCTCCCTGACTTCCAACAATGCTGCAGATTTGCTGTTTTCACTCAGAGTGCTCAGCTGGAGAGTGGAGCCTTGATCCTCCCCATGGTGGTCACACACTGGGTACGCAGCAGTTTCTCCACCACCATAGGACATCCCACAACAACACACAGGTATTGCTGCCTCAGATCAATATTAAAATAATGAAGGAGGGATTAGATGTCTTCCCTGCACAGGGTTCTCCAGCAGCTGATAAGATGACTTCGTGCTACTATCATGGAGCTTCTCTGTGACACAAGTGTGAGCTGCCAGCCTTGTCACCTGTTGTCACTCACAGCCTCTGAAATTATATCAGAAAAAACTATGAGACAGTGACACCAGAAGGAACAGGAGTCTGGGAAAAGAAAGAGGTTGAGACTTCTGGAGGAAGGAAAGAAAATTAAGTTTCAAAATTACATTGTTAAGAAGGAAGCCTAGAACTATTTAAATGGTGCAACACTTGTGCAGCAGCAGAGACTTGAGAGCTAATCCTACCAGATTACTTTAAACTGAGCAGTTCTTGAAGTGCCCTTGTTGAGGCTTTTGCAGGTGTGCTTAGCTTACAGCCTCTTTACAGAGCATGCTGACCCCAACAGTAGACTGCCAAAGAAAACAAGGTGATAAGTATTCCTGCTCGTTGAGCAAGAAGAAGGATCACACAAAGGTCTACAAGCATCTAGTAATTTGCTTTAAGATAAGGATAGTAACATGTTTAGAGAAGAACGAAAACAGTGTTATGAACTAGAGCTATAAGTTTGTATTTTATTTTTAGATGCTTGGCAAAAACTATATAAGTAATGCAAGAGCAAGAAATAAAAGTCTCAGTTCCACATCACATTGGTGTGCTGTCTGATTCCTGCCTTAAGATTGGACTTAACATGCCCTGATTAGAGATGAAGTGTTTCCCAAAACACACCTGAATGAGGCTTTGAACTTCAACACCTACACTTCAGGAGAACTTATCTAGAACATTACAGGAAGATTTTAAGACTTAAATAAATTACTTCAGTTACCTCACGGGACCCAATCTTGCAGTCCACAGTACTGTGGAACAATTTTTCTCAGGTATAAAAAGGAGGATGCTATTAATGATAACTGATACTGGGAGGTTAATATTGCTACAAGGGAAAAGATCAAAAATTCCTGGCCTGAACCTCAATTTTCTACAAGCCCTTCTATGTTTGCAGCTAATTTTGCTACTCTCAAACAAGTACCTAGACGAAACAGAAAAGACAATAGGATTGTTCTAGATCAATACATATTTCATGGAGCAGAATTAAATTGTTACTAATATAGAGCAGCAATTTCTTAGCAGCAATATTAAGAGTTTTGTAAGACTAAGAGTGGATGTCTTTTTTTCTACTGCCTTATTTCTTACATACCACATTCAGTAACTTTAGCCTCAGCAGAATATTTTAGAGAGACCATTTCAGCCTTCATCCCCTGCTTTCTAAAATTAAGCTTATTTTTACTGTTGCTTAAAGCTCCTCGTGTAGTGAATGAACTTCTGTTGCAGTACATTGAACAGTCCTCCAAGTTATTTCACAAAATATTTATATATATACATTTTAACATGACTTTTCACACTGAACTCATTTCTTAACACTCATCATGGAAAGGTGAGCATCAGTTCACATTTCCACATCAGTCCTAGAGCAAAGAGAGAAATACATCCCCTCCCTCCGCAGTTCTCTTAATGAACAGCCGGAGGGTGCAAACATTAAAGCACAAAGTCCTTCATCCAAGCCAGCCTGCAGCAGATCCCTGAGAAGCACCTCTAAGAGCATTCTTTCACTTTGGGGTGCTGAGGCTGCCTGGACAAAGCTGGCTATGCAGAGCTGCAAGCACAGCTCCCTAGAACACCTTTCCTGTGCTGCTCCATCCACACACGGCATCCCACAGACACAGCACAGAAAAATCCGAAAACAGCTGGCAAACGGCACCTACTTTCTCCAGGCGTATCCCTCTCCTGGCGGCTGCTGCACACCGTAGAGTCCCTGGAGAGATGCAGGAGAGGAGCTGCTGCCCGGCTCTGCCCACAACCCCCCAAGTCCCACCCTGAGCAAGGCAGGGTCCCTCCCTTTGGGCTACCTTATATGGCTGCCCTTGCAAAAGGCACTGCAAGAATCAGAAACAGTTTGGATGATTTCAGAGAGAAGTTATGCCTGTCTCTTCCTGCTGTCAAAACCAGCAATCACAAGCAACAGCTTAACTTCCCTCACAGTCTTTTTCTTATCTGCAGACACTTCATTGCAATGCGTTAAAAGCAGCCTTTCCTTACTGCACATCTTTAAACACTGAATTAGGTGATGCCTGTGGCAAGATGGAGGCTCTGCATCCTCCTTTCATACTGGGGAAGTCTAAACAGCACCTTCAGTCGCTCAGGGGGTTTTCCACCAGTTTTGACAAAGCCAAAAGCAGTGCTTCATTGTTCCATCAAGTAATGGAAAATCAGGGTTCTTTAATGTTGTTGCCTTTCTGAGGTCCAGGTCATTTTTTGTATTAATTTGGGAGGAAGAGAATCCCAAACATAACCATTTCAGCATCAAACTCCCCATTTTATTGTTGACCTCTCTAATCAGGAAGAAGAAAGTGAATACTGCTCTTTCTCTCATTTCCTCCCTCTTGTAACAGAAAGCGGACTGCAACACCAGCATTCCAAACTTAAGCTTCCCACTTTTCCAGAGCCAGGAGTTTGAGAATGGAACAAAGGTACCCCTTTCATCCTATGGTTATTGTCAGAGGGAAAATGCTGCCATTGGACATAGTCTTCAC